ATTGAGTGTTTATGTCGTAACATTTGAATAAAAGTATCAAAGGAACAAGAAGCCGATGAAAACTCAAAGTAAACACAAGCAATCTGGCATAATGACGGGAAAACGCGATTGTGCAATGAATGATTTTGGGTTAAGCTTTGATTCTGATTGGTTGAGTCGCGGTTGGTTTCCGTTTCTATCTAAGGGCGACGCCAAATTTTCTTGAGCAGTCAAAGAGATTGAAGGGGCGAAGATCCGTGCAGCAATTCGCCCTCGCAAATTGCTCTATAATTTATTACTTTGCGATCCATTGAGCAGTCGAGGGGACTGGGGGGACGAGACCCGCGCAGGAATTCGCGATGATTCATTCAATATTCCAGGACAGATTGCTCTATAATTTATTACTTTGTGATCCATTTCTCAATGTCTTTCTTCATGGCTTCCTTGTCAGGGAGTTTGAGCTCCCCTGTGATGCAGTTCACGGTCCACTTGGCTTGCGCGTCGAACATGGTGTAAGTGTAGTACTGGTCCTGCATTCCAATGTAGAAAAACTTGTTGTTGCCAGCCTCGGTCCACAGCACATTCTTGTACATCCCGGCGGGGTACAAGATATTCCTGGCCTTCAGTCGGAGGCGCTCCTCAAGGAACGGAAAGTGGAAGTAGTAGCCGGTGCACAAAATGATGGCGTCCACATCAGCAGTGGTACCATCCTTGAAGTGGACAGTTTTGCCCACGATCTTTGTTACAAGTGGTCTCTCAGTGATCGCAGGGGGCCACTTGAAGCCCATTGGCCTGGTCTTGTAGGAGCAAATGATCTTCTTGGCGCCATATTTGAGGTTTTGCAAAGCGATATCCTCAGCGGAATAGCTGGAGCCGACAACGAGGAGCGTCTGGCCTTGGAACTGATAGGCATTTCGGAAGTCGTGCGAGTGCATCACGCGACCAGGAAACTCCTCTATTCCTGGAAAAGAGGGAACGTGCGGCACAGAGAAGTGACCAGTCGCTACAATAAGGTAGTCAAACTTCTGAACAGGAAGGTCTTTGTCCTCGACAAGGCTTTTGACAACTACTGAAAAGTCGTCAGTGTCATCATTGTAGGTCACCTGGCGGACGGCATGATTGAAACGAATCCAGTGTCGAAGATGGCCTTTAGTCCAACGACCTGATAAAAGATTCAGTAATAGAAAAATTGTTAAGTTACGCGCCAATAGCTGTGTGTTAATTCGATAACCTCTACATCGCTTGTCTACAGCTACTTTTGCTCTTAAAAGATAGGCCTGCTTTATTATTCTTTTTCGTCATGGAATTGGGAAAACCAGTCACAACAATGAAAAAAAAAATTAATAAATAAATGAATAAGCGTGATCGAAATCAGGAGCAGAGCCTAACCATTAGGTAACTTGTTGAGATGGAAAGGTTACTTACCTTGTAGATAATCAAAGAGAACCGCTCTGGGTGGGAAGGATGGAATTGCCTTTTTGAAATGATCTTCGAACGTGTAGTCTGGATATTCTAAAGCCTCCTTCGGACCATTCGACCAGAGGCCTCGGTACATACTTCCATGGACGGGTTCACCAAACTGATCGATACCTGAAAACAACAATAACAAAAAAAGAATTAAATCATACAATTGTGTTCATTTTTCTTCAATTCAAATAATTGTTTGCTTTAACCTTTTTTTCTCAGTATGCATACAAATGGTCTACCACGTCCGCTTTTCAAATCGACTCTAAGATGTTGGAAAAAAACATGTTTTTTATGTTCTCTGCCTTCCCCCTAACTCAGAAGCACTGATCAGCTCATATTGTCCCACTCTTATTTTCCACATTCCTGGCGGCGCTATTTTAGGTGCGATGTCGACGCTGCGCGTTAAAGAAGAAAACAAAAATAACGTTTTACACAGTTGGCTCCTCCTCCAAGTGGCTAAACCTCATCTACACTAAGAAAATGCTATTTTTTACCAGAAGAACATAACAAGATCAAATGAATAGATACAGAGGCCCTGTAAAAGAGTGTGTCGACGCGCCCCTGAAAACTATGTACTTACCAGTTTCCCAGGAGTATTTCCAGAGCCCTCCCCAGTCTGACTGCTTGTCGAAGCACACAATTTCAGGAATTTCTTTGCCTTGTTCTTTCAATTTATTGAAGTGAAACAATACTGACATACCACTGGGACCTGCACCGATCACACAGACACGCTTCGCTTTAGACATCTTTATGTTTATCGGTTCAAACTGTCGAAAAAAAATATATAGCATTAGTGGTATCTTCAAAAATGATCAAAATTAAACTATGAATTAATTTGATTTAATTGTGAGCAGATCTCTCTCTGAGAAAGAAGTTCTCACTAAAATTTGCTTTACTTTCTACATTTGGTAAGCCTGCAGAGCAGGCGTAATTTTGGCGAGTGTTCAGTGTCTTCTTAACGAAACTTATGGCCGCCATCTTTGATTTTAATGGCAACGGAAGGCTGGGGAGAGAAAGAAATTTGTACCAAGGGGGCTGTCGACGGTCAAAAGTAAGGAGAGGGGTAGGGGTGGGGGAGGATAAAACGCCTGCACTGCAGGCTAACATGCTGCTTTGTAATTCAGTTGGTGGTGACACGCCCAGTTAGTATCTTGGTAAGAATCCCAGCGAAGCCTGAATTTTCTTTAGGATTCTTTCCTGAAGTTTCTTTAATTACAGCTCATTGAGAGGATCGTTTCTTTACTTGCATTTTCCAAGTTGCTTTTGGTTTTTTGAAAAATGAAAAGAAGAAAGAAAGGCTTAACTGGTTGTCTTTGGCTGTACCGCAGTCTCACACGAGAGGATGATCTTTTAGAGAATCTCAGAAACTTGGTAATTTAAAAGCAAAGTGCACGAAAACAGAAAAAAAAATTACAAATTTTAAATTTAGAAGAGACTACTCTAAAGGATATCTTTTCTTAAGCATTCCGAGTCCAAGCGGGAGTGGAGGTCTTATAGAAAAGGCGGGTTGATAAATTCTCAGTGTTCAAAATGAGGAAGTATTGACAAAACGGACATTGCAACGCGAAAAGATAACGACTTTACTTCATAATTCCAATGTCAACGCATTCATTCACAGGTCATTCCTAACTCTCTGAATTGCTTTATTTTTAACTTTAATGACAGAAACGAGAAACTTCAGATCTTGACCATTCACCGACCGACCCTTGCTATGTTTGTAAAGTGGGTTGTTTTTAAATCAACATGACTTGTATTTGCAGAACATTGTTTTCTTTTCAGTTTGATAATTACGCAAACTCCTGAGTTGAACTAAGAAACACTAACGGTTTGGCCATACAACGGGAAAAAAACAAAATCACCTCAATTTGCTGGGGTATATTGTAAATTCAGTTTTTTCCACAAAAGCAGCCCTATTGTTTTCACACTGATGGACATCAGTGTTATCAGAGAATCTGAAGGAGACTCTGGAAAAGCTGACGTTTATGTCAAAACAGGCCTAGGATGTGTCGCGACGAAGATTTAGTCACGCCAGGGCCGACAACAATCGAAATATTACATTTCAACAAGAAATAATAAATGGATAAAAATACATCAAAAGAAAAGCGACAAAAATCGAGTGGAATCATTGTCTTTAAAGAAGCTTTCGTTGTTATTCTACCATAAACATCCGTGTCGTTTTACATGTCAGTTTGGTTTAAACAGAAACAGAAAACCTAGTTGCATTTGTGTGTTTCTGAGGAGCTTTTAAAAGTCAGTGCAAGCACTATATTATTGCTAGGGAAACGACTCGCTATTTCAAGATGTTAAGTTCACGAGTGTCCTTGCGTTCAGTATGATGAGCTTTGCAGTTCATGCGGGGTGTTAGGTTTCTTGGTGGCAGTAATTTTCAGAAAGAAAAAATAAACAGTAAGATGTGCTCAAGTCTGGCAATAGTGTTGTGTCTCCGGCACAACAAATCTCGATTGCTTCGCACCCCTTACTGATCGACAATTTTCACTCCGGTAGAACTGACCACGAATGCAGTATTCCTCTTGAAAACTCACCAATATTCTGAAAAATTTTTCTACTGTTGCAATGTAATGTTACCTAGTGCCGCTTATCGTATCTCCAATCTCTCGCTTCTTATTCCTTACACAACTTTTGGAACTGAATTGTTTCGTCGTTCGTAGGTTGCTATTAGAGACTTTAAGAGAACTACGACGGACACGGCGACGAAAAGGCGGCGAAATGAAATTTTCTATGAACTAAACAGTAGCTTAACGAGTGCGTTTTAAGACTCTTCACATTCCCAGGACGCCCTATTGAAAAGAAAAGGATGAAATCGCCTAAATTTGCGCATTCTTAGAACGAGAACCACAAAAACAAATTATTCACTTTTTTGAACACTGAGCCGCATTCCCGTGTTGGGCTGCAGGGGAGATCTGGCGCCATTATAGACAGTAAACAAATCGAACACTCGTAAAATACACATGCAGGAGAAACAAAACTTCAATTTTTAAGCGATGTTTTCACAGGCGTCGCCGCCCTGACAGCTTGAACTTCCTATTACGCAAGTGAACGACACACTTCATTAACTGGAACTAAGAGGTTTCTGTTGGAGGCCCTAGAGTTTTCATTGCACGAAGTAACCCGCATAGCTTTAGGGTGCCAGACAAATGAAGATATCTGATTGTGTTTAAAAAAAAGAACATTCTTTAGCTTCGCATTCCAAGAGGAAAGGAAAGTCATCGTCTCTCAAATAACTCGAATCCGCATGAAATAAAATCTTACTAAAAGTTCTCGTAGTACGTACGAGTGAGGCAAGTGATAAGTGCAGGTGGCTCATGTCGGCCGTGAACCTGTAATCGGTACTCTCACTTTATACTCTCGTGAGCTGGTCAAAATTGAGATTCCTAGGAACGTTTAGGTGGAAACTTACCCAACAAAATTTCTGATAATTCCAATTCAGAACTGCTCGAGGACAACACCTACCCGCGCCAGTTGTGACTGTCGCCGAAAAGAGGGATATTTGAGAATAGATACTCCTATTAATTTACTTTGCTAGCAGTTGATGGGGGTGGGGAAATTGTTACGTTGTGCCGCTTTAGGGTCAAGTCCTTAGAATTCTTTGGAGTGATAAAGTTTTAGAAAAAAATTAAAATTAACATTCTGAGTATGTTTGTTTGCTTCTGTGACAATCTAGACGATATTCAGAAAAGGAACTTCAAATTCTAGATGTCTTTTTTCATATGTTTATCACTAACTAATTACTGTTGTTTTCTTCTTCTCCCGTAGAAGCTACTCACCCTCTTGTGATAATCTTTTAAAGCATTTGACAAGTGTCAGCTTACGAATAAGGTTATGTTTGGATTTCTGTTTCTTAATTTCGCAATATTCTTAGCATAAAGCGTCGTCTTAGTCAGAACAATAGTAACCTCTGTCAACTGTTTGACCCGAAGTTTGCGCCTTGAACAATACTGGGTCGTAGCATGTTTCTTTTAAGAACATCAAGTTATTTGCACAAATGCAAACTCTCTTGCATATCAAGTTGGCTGCCCTATGACGCTTCTCTTTTCACTGGATTATTAGGTTTGATAATTGTGTCCGCTTAAATTTTTTCTTGGCTTTTTCTGATAAAGTCAGTCTCAAAAACACAGAGTTACAAGACAAGTTATTTCCTTCGGGGCATTGTTCTGTCTCGCACAAACATTATTTTCGTATCAGGCTTTGTTGTCTAAGTTGGTATTTTTAAAGCAAAACACGCAGACGACTTAAAGAAAGCGGTGACGGGTGACGTTTTTTTTCGGCGACTTTGACGGCTGACAGTTCAATTCAGCGTCTTAGCCGGCTGACGGTTATTGTGTTTTTAAATCAACAATAAGTATTTTCTTTCTTTAATGTGCATTATGAACAATACTCAGACCTAACGAAGTGAAGTTACCTCTTGAAATTTTTGCAATAATCGATCATTGGTAGGCCCGTAGAAAGAGTGGTAGCCTGCAGGCGATTTTTTCGTTAAACGGAGGCAAGGACTAGGCGAGCGCGAACGTGTAGCCTTACCCTCCCTCTCAAGGTGAAACGTAAGCGAGGGAGGGTACGGTTACACGTAGGCTAGTCACGCGCTTGCCTTGTGCTTTTCTTTGTTCGCCTGTAAAAGACGCAAATAATTACGCAGTCTAAAGCCATGGCACCACTGTTGCTATCAGTTTATAAGACAATGCAAATCTAGATGGAATTGGCTTTCAGATTGCTTGAAAGTGACATAAGCTTTCTCAAATATGCCGTAAGAAAATAGAGCATGTTTGAATTGTCTAGGAAAGGATGTCCCAGACCTTTCCCCGACCAGCTACAAAATAACTGTTGCCACCCCAGGCCCCCTCTCTTCAAACTTCGTTCGAGCGTCTAATGCTGCTGAGTTGTGCGTGAAAGAAATAAGTGCTGCGGGGAACTACTGGTAGTGGACACAAAGCGCTCGCTTTGCACTTCCTCGCTGAAGCAAAAAAAATTTTAAAACTAAAACGGTTTGGGTATTACACTACAATTTTTTAAGCTCATACCGCGGGATCTTCGTTCCACAAATAAATACTTAAAATGGACATTCAGTAGCATATTTACAGAAGTCAACATCTTAGAACACGTCTCACCGTATAACTCACTCTCTCTGTCTCCGAAAAAAAGCCGTAGTGCCGCTCCAACTCGAGTTATTGTTGGGTTGTTAGACTGTAATTGTCCGTTTTAACTTTCAGTAGATTCACCATCCGGTACATCTGGAGCTCAAATGAACCGAGCCAGAATTTAAAATCGAGTCGCTGATTCTATGGAATCAATCTATCTTGGCGAAATCTCCCAAAGGTGTATGTGGTTTTCCTCTATAGGTCTGATAGAGGCTCGTTTCCTGTATCGGTCAGTTGTTTTTTTTATCCACTTTTATGAAAAGAGCTAACAACGGCTTCAGTTCTTGCTTTAGTTTTGATTTTGTCGGATGGCGGAAATTGCACGGCGTTGCGTGGTCAGAAACAAATTATCAACTTGGCCGTGGTAAGCTATTTTTAATATTTGATTATTCAGTTGAATGTTGATATTTTAAAACTGTAACCTCAAGGGCAAATATTAATAAATATAACTGTAAAGAGAATATGTTTGTAAACCTCGAGATAACCTTAACAGTATGAAGATTCCACAAGATCGGGTTAGTGGCAAGCGGCCAAAATAGTGTGATTTGAAGAACCTTTAATGGCTTATAATAAGCTTCTTTTTGGATTATTTATGGTAAATTTATCCTATTTGACGCTTGACGCCGGTTTGATTTTCGACTGTCCGATGGCTTTCGGTTAAACCTTATTAAGACTCTTTCAGAGGCACTGAAATACCCACCGCAATGGTAACTGCAGCCCTCTACGGTGTCGTTCATGGCGGTGAAAGTACATTAGCACTTTATTAGTAGCACTCACTCATTCCGTTATAGCCTGTTGAAGGTTTAGGAGGAAGCTGTACAAGTATTGATTGACTGATTTTGTGGATATTGTGACGAATGACGCGTTCCATATTCCATTTGTTTTTCCCTTTTTGGCATTTTTGAAATAGTTGACTCTAAAAAAGTAGCAGATTTATGTCTAGAAAGTGGTAAAGTAAGTCTTCAATATTTGGCCAATTTTTGTCCGTATGATGCTTATGTTTAGTAAGGGACTTAAATTTAAAAGCACAAGGAACCATACAAGGGTCATACAACGCCGTGTAAAACTCAGCTGTCGTATGTTGCTTTATCCGTCTCTACGAGATGCTCCGACCAGACGTAACAACATGCAACGAGTAAACAAGGCTAACACTTAAGCAAGGGTTACATTCAGTTGACCAAAATTATTTCAAAGAGTATTTTTAGTTCCATTACAGTGCAAGTGCAATTCATTCCGTCAGTAGCTCTTCAAGGGCAATGTTATTACAGTTCATAGTAATTTTTGTAGCAAACTTTTTGACTGAATAACCCTTTTCACCCCAGGAGTGACCAAAGCCTAATTTCTCCTAACAATACCAAAACATTTTAGAGCAGAAAGGTAATGAGAAGTAAGTTTAAAAATCCTTTTTCACTCCCAGGAGTGACTAAAAGCTAATTTTATCCTCCTAGCAATATCACAGCACTTTCAAGCAGGGAGGTAGAGAGAAGTAGGTTAAAAAAACTGGCAAGGGGATATGGTTTCATTTAAAACCAAATTATCACTTCCATGATTAGGGGAAACATAAACTCGAATTTAGCGTTAATAAAATGACCGGAATTCAGGTGAGGTAGATCGTCTGTGAGTTGAATCTCGGTGTGAGAGTTATTTCTAACACTTAAGTCACTTCGTTTGAGAAATATTTATCGGTGTCTAATAATCGTGCTGTTGCGCATTTATCAAACTGAAGAGTGTAAATTCATTGGTAAATTCGGCTTCTGCGGGTTCCTTTTGTCCGTTAACTTAAAAGTTAAATGAATGCGGAAAATTTATCATCACATCATCTTAACTTTCGGTTCCTAAAAGATGACGGAATGATCAATTTATCAGTTCCTTTTCGTTATATTTCTTATATTCAGCGCAAGTGGCCTCGTTCCAAACAATTTCCTTCTACTATAAACAATGCATGGGTTTCGACGTGACGAATTGCTGAGATTTCAAACGCATCTTGCGACGTATGACAAGCATGGTTATATTATATTGGCTCTTGAAAGTTTGCCTAGTGAGCTTAATCCTTGAGTTGGCTGATGCTCTTTCGGTCGGTAACACATCATTGCATCGTCAAAAAACAAAAAAACAAAAAAAGAATACATTCGAGACCAATAACTAACGCCCAAAGCCAAAAAACAAAAAAAAAAAAACGTTGATATTGTAGCCTCAGGGCTTTGGCCGTGGGCACTGCGCATATATAGGTTTAAGTTTCATGGCCGACTTGAGAATCATTGTTATCACAATTGAAAATAAAATTACATACCTTGCTACAGTTGACTGCAATCAAGGAGAGGTCGTTCTGGCTTATCAGTGAGCAACTCAGTAATCTGTGATAAATACCACTGTAACTTTAAGACAAAGCTCCAGTTTTAAGTAAGACGATCGCTAAATAATTTTCTAGACCTTTTGAGTAATGCGCATTACGTCTTTAAATCAGACGGATTCACTCTTAGAGAGCCAAATGCAAATAAAGCTTGAACGTGATTTGCATCACGTTGTCACGATATCCTCAATAAATGTCACGCATTCGTCCCATGAGCGATTTTTCTTTCCATTCTTTTTGTCATTTTCAAACGTAATTTGAAAACAAAATAATTTCGACAGTTCTTTTTACAATTAGGGTTTTCGTGAAACTATTGACGATCGCACACATCTCAGACAATAACGTAAATTAAGATGTCGATATATCCTGAGAGGGTCAAACACGTGACGTAATTAAACCAAGATTGGAACCAGATTTTGAAATGGTAGCTGGCCCCTATTGTGTCCTAGTGTACAAAGTGCGGGTACGAAGTAATCCTGTCTCACATAAATAACACTTGGGGATTTTCTTATTTCGATGGTCTTATCGACCCTGAAGCGAATGGAAAAGAAAAGAAAAGAAAACAAAAAACAAAAAGAAAAACAAACAAAAAAAGCAAAAAAACCGGCTGACACCAGCACGCGGATGGGAAGGGGAAGTAATGCAGGCTTGCGGCCGGCATTCAGCGTGCGATAAACTTGTAACAGGCCTTCGTCTTGTTGCATTTACGACAAGTGGTTTATAATCAAAGAAGGGAGCATCTAGCAGTCCTAAGCATTATTTGGAACATTGTTGATAAAATCCTGCGGATGCTGCCTCTCTAGGGGCAGTTTTAATGTCACTAAGCTCAAGGAAAAACTCATGATCACCACCAGACGAATTCATCGCACGTAAACAACGAATTTTTCTTATTAAATGCACATTAACATGGCGGTTATAATGTCACTAAGCTCAAGAAAAAAACTCACGATCGCCACCTGACGAATTCATCGCAAGTAAACAACGAATTATTTTGATTAAAAGTTTTTGTTTTTAAATGATTATTCGACTACTGTCTGCATCGAAACGGGCGTGCATGTTAGAAGAAATCCCCTTTATCCTAAGCTTAGGTTTTGCTTTAAATTACATTTAAATCCTCTCCTTGTGGTTACCTCATTAAAAATCTTAGGATCGCTAACAGTACTTATCACTTATGTTACACTCTGAAACAAATAGAAGATTGCTCAGGAAACTTACATATGGAGTTTAAGGTAATCCAATTAACAGAGACGGATTGGATGCAGTCCTATGACCATCATTATGTGATTATTACGGATAATAAGAAGAGAAAATTTACTTGCCAAATATTAAATCTTTAAGATTACAAATTTAATTGACTGAAAGTCAGCTAAACGTGATCTGAACTTGGGTTGGACTGGGGTTTTTGTGTTTTCGTGATTCCTGGTATCTTCTTAACCAAACCACAGGCAGCCCAAGCTCCAGCTGTGAGGTGATCGATCATCTTCCGAAATAAGGGTGATGGCGAAATTATAAGAGTTTATATGGGAATATTTACGACCGCTCTTAGGAATAAAAAAAATAAGTCAAATTCTCAATAAAAATACCTCACCTTACTTCTACACCGCATCGCTTGTTGTCTGACCGCCCATAATTAATTACCTTCTTAAAAAGAACTTTTTGCGAGTTATCCATCTCTAGTTTTACCACATAAAACATTACTCAAATAGCGTTATTTGAACTTAGGTATCGACAATTTTTCCAACAGAACAAGAACAACAAATAGGTCTTATAATGAAAATGTTATTTACTATGACAAATGGCTTTGTAGTGTAATTGAAATATGCTTCCAAGGGAGAGATAATACAAATATTAGGAAAAGATAACGTTGTAATATTCTCCAAAGTTGAGAAATGTTTGAATAGTAAAGAATGTGATGGCCGATAAAGAAACTACTTGCGAACCTCAAAGAACCCTGCCAACGATTTCGTTTTGTTTAATACCGTGCGATATCGGGATTCTGATGACTTTTCAACGCAACAGCAATTCATATCTTTCCCCTTATGGAACTGTCTTGAGCTGTTTAGATACATTAAGAATCCCGTCAGTTATTTGCAGGCGATCCTCTTCGCACATTTTTTGTCAAAACGAACTTATCAGGATGCCAGACGAGTGTTTGCATGCTTTCATTCCTTGCTCGTTTTTTGTCAAAACGAGTAAGAACTTATCAGAATGCCAGAAGAGTGCATGCGCGCTTCTCAATAATCTCTTGATATTAATTTTCTGCTTTATTGCGAGCATCACCGCGACCATATCTTCAGAAGTCCCATCGCCAGGCAAGGGACATCACCATATCTTATTGTTCGAGGAGTTGTCTCGACAAATCTCTTCGAATTCATTTGATATGATATTCGAATCTACCTCTCCCTTTTTTAACTGCCATAAATGGATGTTTTAATTTTGGAAGCAGCTCATTGTTAAACGCCTCTTCCTTTCGTTGCACCTTACCCACAACTACATCATAGTCACAACTTTCCCGTTCCATGAATGGGAACTTTATCGCTTCCTCGGTGAGTACTTCCAAAATATATATGTAAAAGGAAAATCATCAGTTTAACCGAAAGTTCGATTTCTCTCGAGGTGGCGCACACATATCTCTACCGCTCCTTTGTTGTGTTTAAGCAAAGAACAACGTTTTAAAAAGGATATAAAAAATTTTTCGTTAGATACTCAACTACAAACTAACTTAATTTAACCTAAGAAACATGGACAACTGAATATATTTTCGCTGCTAGTTACATAACGTTGCGTAATGAAGGATGATCGTACTTAATTCTTCGCAGGTTAACAATACGTAATGAACACTAAGTTTGGGGCCTATTTGCAATCAACACCACACCTTTTTTCGTTTTCCAAGTAACATAGAACCCTTTCTTTAGAGTCCTGGTTTGCCCTATATCCGAGCCTATCGGAGTTGCTCTTCCAAAAGAGTTGGTTTCGGTATTTGAGGAAAAACTCGCACCACACCTTTCGGTCAGTAGAACTAACTACTGATCTCACTCTATATTCAACACGCACAAAAAACGAACATGTCGAGTGAGATTGACTGCAACACTCGTATTCTATTCCAAACACACAAAACGAACATTTAAGCAAGATTGACTTCAAGTCTCGTACTCTATTCGGCACGCACAGAAAACGCACATGTGGAGTGCGATTGACTACAAGTTTCGTGTCCTATTCGGCACACACACAAAATGCTCATCTTAGTTAAGGCTGACGTCTAGTCTCGTACTCTATTCGGCACGCACAAAGACGCACAAAACGCACAAGTCAAGTAAGATTGACTACAACACTCGCGCTCTATTCAGCACGCACAGAAACGCATATGTCAAGCAAGATAGCCTCAAGTTTCGCACTATATTCGGCACACACAAAAAACGTATATTTCAAGTAAGGCTGAATACAAGTCTTGCACCGTATTCGACACTTACAGAAACGCACATGTCAAGTAATATTGCCTCAAGCCCAGCCCTCTGTTCGGCACACTCAGGAAAAGCACATGTTGCAAATAATGAAGCTTTCCTTGCCTGACATGAAGTTACACGTTTTGAGTTTAAAATTCAAATGGTTGAGCTTATACATCGTCTCTTAATTTGTTTGAGAGAGAAGTTTTGATGTTTTTATAGGGACATAGCGAAGGATTTTGTAACTTAAGCAACAGGACGAATGGTTCTGTCTCGTAATTTTGAATTTTTTGTAAATGCCTTTAATAATCAGCTATCGCAGGTTGTTTTAACCAAAACCGGGATTTTCGTAATTTTTGTTTGAAATCACACACTACCTCTGCTGTGTGATAACAACGCGGTAGAGATGGATATTACGCATTCAATTTATCTTCCATTTACTCTTACCATTTTCACAACCTAGTATTCTAAAACTTCTACCGTCACTGAAATAATTCAGGATTGGAAAATGTTACTAACCCAAAACTGATTACATTTGGAAATGAGAGTAAGAAATTACAGTCCGATGAATATTTTCTAAAAATTGGTGCAGGAGAGACAAAAAATGGCCAATTGTAATTGAGCTGGGCGGATTTCTACTTTATTATCGCACTCTGTCACTGGGTGCTTTGATATTCCTGGTCCTGTCTGTCTTTTGCTTAAAAGGCACTGTTGATGATTGCTGAAAATTGAAACTGAAGGCTGAGGCAGTACTACGAAACTGTATCTTGCCTGACAAATATTGAGTAACCACATGGTTCCGATTGCAATAATCGATCGATCCATTCCGATCTTGCATCTTATTCTTTTCGGCATGGTGCTCGATTCGATTCGATTCGTCGAGATTCGGCATTTTACAGGCCGCCTGTCATAAAACCAAATTATTCTGCAACACCCCCCGTCGACGCACTACCACAGATTGTTTAGAAACGTACCCCCCTTCGAGGAAAACTGAAAAGGTTTGGGTTTGTTTTAATGCACTTTCTTGAACACTGTTTAAGTCGCATCAACTCGTAAAATCGTTCTTAAAGTTAACCTCCACGTCTCAATGGCTAGAGTAGGAGATCTAATGCTACTTTTCTCAAACCCTAATCTTCAAGCTCGAAACTGGGAAATATCCATTAACACAGATTCTTAAGAATTGTTTTGTCTCCGTTTTGTGGCTGTCATATTGAAACGAGGATATAGACAAAGATTAAGACTTTGCACGCTATTCAAACAAAACATTTGATATCATTACCCACACCTACTAACTTAGTATATTCATGATAACAAAAACTGGTTTAGGAATGAAACGTTTTTTTTACTACAACATAATCTTTTCCCTATGATTCTACAGTCCTTGGCACTTTTAACAACCACACCAGTGCAAGAATCACTTCAGAGTCGCTTAACTTGTTTCCAGTCAAGTAGTACTCTAGGGCTCAGATGCGTTCAGAAAAGTCGCCATCGAGTCATCAAGGGCTTCCATAAATGTAGAGTGGTGAATTGGGGACTGGGTTCCAGTAAACTTGCTTGCGTGGCTTCGATCTCTGTAAGTGAGGATGTTCTCACGTTTGTGTTGTTGCCAGTCATAAAACTGCTGGGTGGTGTC